CATGCATTATAGTGCTTCTAAAATATCTTTACTCTTATTACAGGATGAAAAAATTGTTCGTATTTCTTTCAGCTTTTCTTATTTTGATGACAAATGATGCAGCAAAACAAATGGAAAATGGTGAAACTCGGTAAGTTAACGAGCAATGTTTAATATTTCCCACCTTCTGTGATGCAAATATAATGCAAATGGCATAATTCGAAACCAGCATGCAATTCTCATTTATAGCTAAGTGGTTGACATGGATTTATCATCGAAATTTTTCGAATAACCAAATAACCAAAATGATTTGAGATTTAAGCCTTTCTCAACGATATCCAAATTTTTGAGCCCTTTCATTTAAGCCATTTGTTCTGGTGATTTTGTTGCGCTGCGCGATTGCATTTGTATTTCTTTCTGCTTTCCTGTGGACATTCGTTTCATTAAATTTTGAAGTTGTCTGTTCGGACGAATTTTCTAGATGATTGTATCTAGATTACTGTTTATCTGTTTTCGATCTGATTGCTATGAAATGAAATTTATATCGAAAATAGAATCCAGTTTTTTTGTGATCACTCGCTTTTTCATTTGATAAAATAGGAATCAATGATCAAACATATTCCAATTGTTATAGTAAGAATTGTTATAAGAATTGTTATAAATATATTGTTATATATTTTGATTCTAATGATAATTGCAGATATCTTGTAAAACGTCAATTTTTCGGCGGATGGGGAGGACCACAATATTGGGGATGGCGCAGACCATATTGGAGATATGGTGGACCGTTTGGTTTTCGAAGGTGGGATTATGGATGGTGGGCTTAACGAGCATTAATAAAGACTGATACAATTGGAAAATACTATATAATAAGTATACTATATATGCTGCTCGTAAAGATCTTTTTGGTATCTTGCGTTCGATATTTTTGTATGTTTCGTGTCATCTTTTAAAACAAACGCATTTTTCTTACATTTATATTTTTCAATATAGCATTTTTCGATTTCGTAGAGAAATGCTTTGTTAACTGGTAATTGTTCGCGTTCTGTGCCAATTTTCTGCTAAAATTATTTAAGAGGTTAAGCAATGAACCAATTAAACGAATTTCTTTAAATTTTAAATTTCACAACTCACAAATCGGATGGTACTTAAAATTCAACAAATTTCCCTCATTTCTAATTTAATTTTCAATTAATTTAAAAAATATTTATTTTTACATGCAGAATTGTCAATTTTTTATTTTGAAAGGTCATTGAAAGGGGGAAACTGATGGTAGGCGAATTGTTTTTTAAAAATTCCAGAAACTATTCAGTTCTAGAAGATTTCTTTCTGTCATTTCTAATTATTCTGGTATGCAAAATATGCTTTCGATCCAGTTTAGATCTTTAAAGAGGCAAATAAAGAATTATACTATAACCAACATTCCTCACCCATTTCATTTTTATCGTAATTTTTCCACTTTTGGTGCTTTCAAGCAGTAAAATTTTTAGGCCATAAATTATCTTAGATATATAAAGGTTTAATAATCAGTTTGCCACTTTATTTCCTCCGTATTATAATAAAATATAATAAAATAAAAGAAAATAAAAGGAAAAACCAGAATCATAGTGTAAATGGCAAGAAAAAAACAATTTTTTCTACAAAACTTGCAGTCACTAACAGGAAATAATTAATTGCTAAATAAATAATGGTGGAAAAAAAATTTTATTTTTTTAAACCTGTAATTTTTAGTGGCGAACTCTATTTGGCCTCGATAAAGTGATTAATTAAGATTATTTCCATCATTTGCGAAAATTAAAAAAGTAAACACCTTTGAAAATGATGAACTTTTCAGCAATTAATATTGTGAAAATTGTGAAAATCAAATGAAATTTGTTTTTTTGGAAAACGACTTATATTTGCAAAACATTTTTTAAGATGACACTTTTCCAATAATTTTTCTCGTTCTTGTGGAGTAAAGCTAAATTTTACGAAAATGAAACATCAAAAATAGAATTACCAACTGCTATAAAATATAGTTCCCTTAAACCTAACTTCGGATCCAGTGGCAGATAGCAAAAATGCGATTTTCCATTATAATGAAATTTTACAACCAATCAAAATGTCAAAATCGAAGATACTGAAAAACTTTTGGATGCGTATAGCAGTTTAAATTGATAAATTAGTATCGAAAATTTGCAATCTTGGCTTTTTGCTTAGAATTGGCTTATTACTGGAAAAAATAACAATCAGGAATATTTTTATTATCATTTAATATTCGCTTTTTTTTATTTTATATTTTGAAAATTTTTTATATTAATGAAGAAGAAAGTGATTTCGGATGATAAAATTAAAAAATGCCAGTAAATAAATGATTGCCATTCATGCCACTTTATTTAAAACCAAGCACATACCTAAATATGAATTGAATTGCGTTATAAATTGAACATTGTTTGCATTTTTACGAAATATAAATTACATACATAAGTTAAAAATTCATTCAACATAAATAAGAATAGTAAAACAATTATTTAAAAAAATTAGTAATTATAAATGGAGTCAGAATAAACGTGGTAAATGGAAAGATTTGAAGCCATTCGCCACGATCGATTGCCAGAACACCAATTGCTAGTAAACTGAATCGTCTCGGATACTTGATCACTTTTTTCTGATTACTTTCCATTTTATATATAAACGAAATTCAGAACTTAGTTTTTACGATTTATATCGTAGCAGTCCTTTTCAACTTTTTTCATTTGTTTTTCAAGTTCTCCATGGTGATTCTCAACAAGTTGGCTATTATTTTTTATATTTATTCTTATTTTGACTGAAAATGCATTAAATATAGTGAAAGTTGGTTAATTTTCAGGTAGTGAACAATAAAGTTAGTTACATTTATATTTTTGTAGATTGATGCTGATTTCAAATAGTTAGATAAGGAAAGAAAACTGAAAATTAAACTGAAAAAAACAAATATATGTCAAATATACGACGACAAGTTTAACCCACCACGTGGATTTTATTTTAAAAATCTATTTCCATCAAGAACCGATCATTGTGCTTCCAGCAAATTTACGAGCTTTTATTTACGAATTGCTGCTAAATTTCTGCGACGCATGAATAATTATAAATAAATGGTTGGTCACACTGCTGCTTTTCTAGCAATAATATTAATAAATGCAATATTAATCTTATATTTCACAGTTTTTTTCAGAATTTAATTACTTATTGCTATTTTTCTTGTGGTGTTTGCAAAATAAAAATCTAAATTTTTTTTGAATAATTTTTAATCTAAAAAAAAATTAACCTTGCAAATATTTTTGACTAATGAATGAAAAAATATATATTCTTAAAAAAATTTGAAAAATGAAGAAAAGATTTTGATTCGATTCACATAAAAAATGAATATTTAAAGATTCATAAAAGATAGAATTAAATTGAAATGAAAGAAATAACCTACACGAATAAATGCGGTCTGTTGGTTTAAAAAAATAGCTGCAAATTATTTCTTCATTCTTAGTAAAAATTTTTTTACCAAAGATATTTCTTGACGCTTGGATAATTGTAATTTCTTAATTCAAATTTTAAGCAAGCGCATCTTTTTTTTCGAAAATTTATTATTTCCTTCATAAAAGTTCGATTTTATGGTAATTGCATAAATCTTGAAGATTATTGCAACTATTATTACAAGTCACTTCGAAGGAGCCTGATTTTTCGATTTTCTAGAATTGTTATTTACTATTATTATTGGCATTAGTGGCGAAGAAACTGTCTGCCTTTAATCGACCTTAAAATTTTTGTGTTAGGCACGAATTCACTAAGTGCACATTTCATTCACTTTGAAGCCGTATAGAAATATCGAAATACAAGTTATTACTGCAAACTTTTACTTTTGCAGTTTACCAAGAAATAGTTTCATTTTTATTTTTATTATTCAATAAATTTTTGCAACCATTTTTTTCCTCTTCTTCACGATTATTTATGAATTTAATTCAGTGAATTTGCAGGCTTAGAAAATAAGTGGTTAATGTTCATTCTGGTTAGGCTTGTCCCGTTGACTGCTGGTGTAGTCGGAAATTTTTGCTAAAGAATGAAAAAATGATGATGACAGAAATATAACTGGGTCATCAACACCATTCGGATTTTTAATGACAGTACTCGGAAGTATTAATCGAATCCATGTCTTTCAAAGCGATCTGATAATCTGATAACCGCTTTCTATTTCGTTATCGCGTCTCTAATTTAGAGTTCTACATAACTATTTAAAAATCGTTTTAAAATTACTTGCATTTTTTCTTAGTTTTTTTTCAAAAAAGATTGTAAATATTTTGTTCACTTGGACACCTTGGACACTTCGATAGAAGAAAATTTCTTTATTTCTTGTAGTTGTTGACGGTAAGACTCGCTGCATAGAACTGAAATGTATAGCTGAAGTGCAAGTTTTTTTCAGGTCCCTTCAATGAATTTCATGATATATTTAATTTATTTATTCAGCTTATTCAATGAAAATAGCAGTAAGTTAATTTTCTTTCTTTAGTGTAAATTTGCAGAAATTCCCAATTCAGGGAAGTAAATAATTTTCTACTCAGTGAATTAAGGGTGTCGTCAATGAAAAATATTGCACAAAAAAATAAGAGCAATTTGTTATGAAAGTCGCAAATCAATTCGATAAAATTAATACAGCAATTTTCTGTTCATAATTTTGGTTAATTGTTTATTTAAGAAATTTTATTCTTGGGTTCTTGGCAAACTATTTTAAATGCAATATAATAAATCATCAAATATCGGAAATGATATTGTATGAAATGATAAGGATAAATATGATACTGAGTGAAGAATATTTTCATGAATGCACGCTAAAGAACTTGAAAAAGAAATGCGCATGAAATGAAATCTAAGAAAAACTAAATATTATAAAATACTGCCTAATTTGGAATAAAAGCTTATATCTACTAGGCTAATACTGCCTAGGCTAACTCGCAAAAATAGGCAGATTTTGGTGATTAAAAATTGGTAATTCTAGACAAAAATCTTCAGACTGAATGTGTCGTTTGTTCAAATATTTTAAATTTCACGAAGTGGATATATTTAAATGAGAAGGCTAAGAAACAATGTAAATTTGCTGTTAATGCTGACAATGAATAAATGAATCACGAATAGTAAAAGTAAAAGTAAATCAAAAGGAAATCAATTCACAAGTTGTGGACAACTCGTAAAATTACTTTTAAAAACAATTGTGATTCCATTTCTCTTATTCGTTCATGGATGCCAAACTTTCCTGTATTTCATGTATTCAAATTTAATTCACATGGACAACAAATTGATTGGCCATAGTTTTATCAACTGATAACTTAACTCTCTGATAAAGAAATTAGCTTTTCAAAAAAAATAGCGAAAAAACTTTGTAGACCAAGTTGTTTACAATACTTATTGGTTCAACGAGGACCAAAAAAGGCAAATTGTCACGTTGCACAATCAGTTACGAGCATCTGAACCAGCAGCCGATATGCAAGAACTTGTTTGGGACGATCGCCTTGCTGCTCTTGCACATGGTCATGTTCAACGATGTGATGCATGGCATCGAAGCGGTGAAAAATTTACCTTAAACATTAATCGGTCATTTATTTCATTTTTTAATCGCTGCGGTTTAAACCATCTTTTTGGGCACTTTTTGCAAACTTTTCTTTTTTTGCTTTGCCAAAATTTTTTTATGTATTCAAAAAATTCAGAATTCAGAAATCATATTTCAAAGAAAAAAAATTTAGCAACAACTAAAATTCTTTGAAATTTTTCATTATATAATTTGCATTATTATATTGCACAATTTTCAGCTTATGAAAGACGTGGACATGGATATTCGTATATTGGTGAAAATATTTGGTGGTCCAATGAAGCATACCTTCGACACGATCTCACTGGAGTTATAATGGACTTTTATAATGAAAAGCCATTCTACAATTATGCAACAATGCAATGTTGGCGAGGTGCACAATGTGGACATTATACGCAGGTTAGCGTGGATTATGTGTCCACTTCATATGTGATCATCTTCCTCGTTTTATTTCGTATAATCGAGTTTTTTTTACGTATACTATTTCTTTCATTTGCCGATACTTTCTTAATGGGACATTGCATACTAATAAAAAATCTGCTTTCTTCTATTAAACCTTAATAGGTTGTAATGTGCAGATAATCTGGGCTAATACATGTGCTGTTGGATGTGCTGCTGTTCACTGCAGTGGAATACGTAATGGTAGAGGAATTTATAGAGGGCATATAATAGTGTGCAACTATGGTGAAGGGTTAGAAATTTTTGCAGATTTATCTTTTTTCTCTGTTGATGAAAACTAATATAAACTGATAGAGATAGAAATAAATGAATGATTGCACTTGCCCAATAGGGTAATAAGGAATTCGGCCTTAACTTGCAGAGGCAATGCGTATGGCCAAAGGCCATATCAAATGGGCGAAAGATGCTCGAGATGTGCGGATGGAGGTCGATGCACCAATGAAAATCTGTGTGGTAATCTTTTGACTACAAATATATTATATTATCTATTGTCGTTCTAATGATTGAATTACAATTCGAATTCGACATATTTAAATATTTAAATGAATATTTAAATGAATGAATGTTTCCACGATTATTTACTTATATACTTTTATATACTTCTTATAAAAATGAAAAGATGCAACTAGGGAAAATTCATTAGATAAGTGGCTAAGATAATTTAGGATCCATCAATAGATACTTTAAATTAAAATACTTTTCATCGCAAAACAGAAAATAGACAAGCGAGTTAAATAAAAATTGAAATATTTTATCAGAAATAATTAATAGAAAATATTAAAGCCCCGAGGTGCCACGGTGTGCGATACGGTACACAATATCAAATAACTCATTTTCTACCCAATGTAAATCAGGCAAATCGAAATATAAAGTTAGCAGGGCAAGCGACTCAGAAACAAGTTCCGTTATATCCATATGGTAAAATTTTTTGATAAGACATTTCTTTTTTCTTATAGATTTTTTACCAGACTTAGGAAAGATGTTAAAATTTTTGTTAAAAAGGCTTTGAAGGCCTTGTATTTTTCCTATTACCAAAAATATGAATTCAACGAAAAATCTACAGTGCTTTCAATAATGATTTGTCGAGAATAATACTGTATTAATCTAGTATGCAAGGATAGTGATCGGAATTGCCAAACTTGGGCACAGCATGGAGCATGTGAGAAAAACAGAGCTTATATGATTCTACAATGTCCTGCATCATGCAATGCTTGCACCCCATGGATATCAACTGTTAATCAAGGTGATATTTTCAAATTTACTTATCTATTTTTTGACTTCGCTGTAATGATTTAAAGGCCATAAGCTATAAGCCCCATTGCTTAAATATTTTTCGATGGCTTTGTATATTCATCTAATTCATTAAAGCGGAATAACTTGTTAGTGAAAAATTATAGAATAAATGTAAAAAAGAGTATTTCAGCGAAAATATGTGCGGATAAACATCGATATTGTTCAATTTGGGCAGAAATCGGTGAATGCAATAGGAAATATCAAAAATTTATGACGGAATTTTGTCAACGATCATGCAATATGTGTCGAAATTCAAAATCGGAAACAATGACGGAAAAAAAGGATAGGAAATAATAATTTAGTTTTAGCCAGAATAATAGTAAAATCATTCAGTGACTGCCAATTTGAATTTTAACAGATTATCATATTAGAAGAAAACACCTATCCGAAAAATTTTCTATGTCGTTCATTCCCGTTACAATCATGAACAGCTGTGCGGCTTTTCGATCTAATCTCGTCCTGTTTTTTTTAAGACGCAACTTCTGACAACCAGTCTTTTAAAAAAAATTAATCTTTCTCGCTTAAGAAAAATTGAAAATCATTTATATAAAAGCATTGAAATGGTCGCATATTCATTGAAAAATTTATATTGTACAATCTTTCTTGCTGTTTTTGTTTTTTACACCATTTTTTAACATTCTCAGGCAATATGGTATGGTACCAGCCCTGTTGTGCTGTCGAATTTTACACTTTTTTTACCTTTTATGCCTTAACAAGTGGATTTTAAATATTCGCATAAATTATTGATTTATTGCTATTAAATTATGTGTAGATTTGATGTCCTAAGTAGAATAAATTTCGAATAAATTTTTTCAAATACCGACGAGAATTCTTCAGTCATATCATTCCTTCTATCTAGAAATTAGTTTTTCTAATTTATCTAGAAAATCTATGATTTCTAAGAAATAAGAATTAGTTTTTTCAGGTAGGGTAAATTTTCCAGTTTTTTGTAATATCATGCGGAGGTCTCAAACTAAATTCAATAAATTCATTTGAAAGATGAATAGATAAATTTAAAATTGTAATAGAAATGGTTAATCTTATAAATATTTCAAATAATTGTTAGGCCAATCATTATTATCAAGTTGCGCAAGAAATTTCGTGGAAAGTAATCTGATAAAAATTTTCCGCTTGTGACAATTGCTCGTAACTCTTACAACATTTGCTTTCTTTGAGTATGTAAAAAAATTGTAAAATGTAATTTAGATTGAATTTCATTTTCAACGAAATGGATCTGTTTGAATGAATAATATTTCAATATTGAAATACCTTGAAGAAAATAAAATTAATATATAAATGTTCGCACTGAATTGATGCTAATGAAGCAACTGACGTTTTCATTCGGGGAATGTACATACTTTTCACTAAATTATTAGCGAATATGAATATGATGTAATGATTGGTTAAGGCTTGCTATTAGCTTTCCAACGGTATTCGCAATATATGGTTTAGCTAACTCTACTGATTGCTTGTGAGAGATCAGTTAGCCAGGGAATCATTTTGGAACATTATATATATATAGATATATATTTATAGATATATATTTATAATATAGCTGTCTTGAATAAATGTTGAGAGAATGTCTGAAGCATCAACAGATATAAAAGTAAGGCCATGTACGAAAAGGCAGCATGAGGCATTGACTATAGCTGCATTCGCAATATATGGTCTAACAATAGGCACGAAGCAGCGGATCCACCGAAGCAAAGGTTTACCCCAGCAGACAAGATTTAAGGTGCAAAAAAATCTCAGAAACTGTTTCTTCCAATGAATAGTGGCAATATATAAGGTGCAACAACAGCACTGAAAGGCGTGATCAAATAGCTGGTGGTACTGCCTACAGGAATATCTGCTCAGACATATGGCTTAAACCCTCCCAAGACCATATGAAATATTCCTTGGAAAACAGTGAAAAATAATTTCAAAATCCTGTGGGATTTTGCCGTCTAGATAGGCAATCAAGCCAGTGAATAAAATAGCATGATAGTCGAAGGACCAAAAATTAGCATTGGTGATATAAAATATGCAGTGATATGAATGTTAGAAAAAAGGATTATGAAAATCTAGAAAAATACTAAGGGATAAAAGAGAAATTAGAGAAAATGCAGGAAATGGAGGCCAAAGTAATCCTAATGGTAATAGAAGCACTGTGGGTAGCAACCCTAAACTAAAAAAGTGGCAACATCAGATATCTCTGTTTAGTGCAGTGGTAGGAACCGCCTTAAGCTCCCGGGCCTCTGGTGAAGGGCCCGAGGTTGAGGATGACTCATACCACCCGAAGAAATTTTTTGATGTTCATTTTGAAATTTTTTACTTTTTAAGAGAAATTTTTGCAAAGGATAATTGCCATTTGAGATGCTCTGATGATTCTTTATAAAAAGCTTTTCCAAAAGCACATAAAAAAAAACGCTTTTCAAAAAAACTCACGATGAAAATAGTAGCTTCTGAAATTCGCTGATCATTCGCTTCTTCATTATTTTCGGTTTTCGTTGGTGCAATAATATAGTAAATATAGCTTGATTGGCAGTGAGTAATCTCGCAAAAAATCCTTGCGATTGCAAGCTCATTAGCTTTCCATTTACTGAAGTACCACTAGAAGTGAAGTTCTAATGAAATAACCCAAGAGATATTCGACGTTCATAGCGAATGCAATAGCTATCTTTTCAATTTTTTTCAACCTAAAACTTCAATTAATGGTATTTCGAATTCTTTATATTTTAAATTTTGTTACATCAGCTTTGCTAATTTTTTCGAGCAAAATTGTCAGTTGCAATTATCGTTCAAAGTTTTATTCGTTTTCGATTCTCATTTGAATTTCTTGATTGAAATCTGAAAAAAAGCAAACTAGTTTTTTGCTTTTTCATGTAAATTGACATATTTATAAGCGTTACTCATAAAATTGATTTGATTATATTATCCACTGAAATATCCTTTTAATCCGTTGCGATTTTCAGCATTTCCTGCTGACACTATAGAATATTACGAAGTAACAGATAATAAATTCTGAAAGAGATAAGTTATCAAGAAAAAGAGATAAGTTATCAAGACTAACTATTCTAGATAAGCGATAAGTATGATTGTGATTTTAGTCAGAATTTGAATCCTCGTGAAGGGAATAAATTTATTGGTGGAAATGAAATGCCAGCATTGAGGACTTCTCTGTACTTCTAAGTGATTTTCCTAATCGACATTCGTTAAAATCAGGTCTGAATTATTAATGAAATTAATAGAAAGCAAGGAACACGAAGTCATTTATTAGACAACATTTTTCATCTTATAATTGTTAAATCTTGTAATTGTTAAAGGAATCAAAATTCTTAGCTATATCTGATAATTTACGTACTTTCATCGAGCTTATCGATTATAAAATCGCCATATTTTCATTCATTTCACAAATGCTTAAATACGCCTGGAATCGTGTTTTGCTGATTGCAGTTTAAACGACAGATCAGCGATATGTTTTCGAGTTTGCGTTTCGATGCTCTTTTTAAGTTTTGTGCCAAAATTGCTTTGTGGCAGGTTGGTCCGTAGTTTCGATGCCGCTTCTCTCATCATAAATCCACGTTAAGCTCTAATTTAATGTTTAAGCTTTAATTATATTTTTTTGGAATTAAGCGGTGGTGTTATTAATAATAATTTGTCGATAATATTGTCGATAATAAAATGGAAATTCAAACTATTTTTCCTTCTTCTGTTGAAAAATAATTGGTTTAAATAGATGAAAATCGATAAGAATTTAACGTGAAATAAACTTTGTTTCTCTAATTAATATTTTAAAAAAAATATTATCATTCAAGCTATGTTTCTATATCATCCAAGAATTCCTTGGGGCTTTCAATCCGATTTATTAAAATTTTGTATTCTTCGCTCTTATTGAACGTTTAATTTTAAGGTATTTCTTTTTATTAGTTCGTTAAATTTTTTTTTCGAGTTTTTCTCTCATTCGTTTCGTTATCAATTATCATTCATACTGGATGATGGTCGAGCGTTCTGCTTGGGTTATCACTTAAAGCATTTTCAGTGGAAATAAACCTGTCATTAAAAAATCCAGCTGTTGCTAGGGATCCACCCGTATTTTTATCGCTGAGTAATTCTTTGGTAGCGAACCTTAATAGCGAGTAGAATTGCTCCTATGAGAAATGGTGCATGCTGCGAAAAATTATTATTATTATTAAAAATTGTCATTCACATAATTCCCACTTTATAAGGCGATTGCTGACTTTTGCCATTTTTATAGGAACAAAAATTCCTTTTGATTCATAACTATCTTCGGTTTATAAAAAAAATTTAATTAGACCATGATCAAATATAGCCTAATGCGTGCAAATGGCAAAATAGACCTTAGATTATGCTTCTCGCCTTGTCGCTAAATCAGTTAATACTAAGAGCAGCGACTGGAGGATTTGTTAAATGTAGCATAATTAAAGAAAAGGCAATCTTAAATATTTGGATAAGTAAAAATTGGAAAAATCAAATGGTTCGGGAAAAAAATAGCAAGAAAATGAAGAAATGGTATTATTGTAAAAGTGCTCAGAATTGGAAATATTCGTTTTTTCTGGAAGAACAAATGCTTTTTGACGATGCTTGGCGAGTCTTGCAAATGCAAATCGCATATTAAGAAATAAATAAAAATTTGCAGTAATTTTCAGTAAAACTATCGAACATGATTCATTGAAATCAATGTTATTCAACTTAAAATTTAAGTGTGTTCGTTCATAAACTTTCAGTTTTTTAGGAAATCCGTTTAAATTTCAATTTTAATTTCTAAAATCGGAGAATTTTATAATAATTTCGCAACCAAAGCATAAATTTTTAATCTTCTTTTCGACATTCTTTATAAAATTAAAAAACAAATTCAGAAAATTTTGTTTCGTTTTAATTGAAAAAAAATCATGGGATGTCGCCAGCTAATTGAGCTTTTTTCTCCACGGCTGTCGACATTCTCATGAAAAATTTTTTGAGAAACGATAATAAGATTCCTAAATTTTATTAATAAATTAATTTTTTGTTTGTCGAGGTAATATTTTTGAAGGGTTTCTTTTGAGCAAGGCTTTCCCCTTTTTCGAAGAGCATTCATAACACTGCTTGACTCATTAATTATTGAGGTAAAATCCTTTCAGGATTCTCTAATGCTTTGGGAGTAGAAATGCAGGGAGTCGCTAACAGCATTCAATTTCACTTTAACTATTGGCAAGAGACATCGAACCCATAACAGCATTCATTCTACCTTGGAATAACATTAATAACATTTATCTGATTATTATTTCAGTCAACTGACTGTTAATAAGGTTTAG